AAAATTTTTATTTTACTTTTTAATTTTACCATTAAAGATTGAATTCATACTTATCTGTGTGCAACAGTATTCACGTTTGCTATTACAGCTTATAATGTTGTAATATTTGGGTATCAGGTTAAACAAGTATCATATTATTACCATTTCATTGGTTCCCACTTAATTATCAAAGTAAATTTTCCTGATAACCACAGTCTTGTCTCAACAGTGGGAGCTGAGTAATCTTAAACTGAAATTCATATATCTGGGTACTAAGGGACCAGAAACTAGGAATAATAATTTGGAAACAAAAAGGGAAACAAATAAAAGCACAAGAAAGACAATATACTAACAAAATAAAACAGAAACACCCATTTCACAGCTTCCCGTCGCGTCGTTGTAGTGTTGTGCTGTGTGTTGTGCTTTCATGTATGCTCTCTTGTGTTCCCTCTCTCGTCTGCCTTTCCTCCTGTGTCAATTTCATGTACAAGTCCACGCCTCACGGTGTTTCCTGTTTTATTTTGACTGTCTCATGTCCACGTTCTGTGTTGCTTCCCCTGTGGCATCACATTCGTTTGTTTCAGCTGTGTTCCTCAGGTGTTGCCACTCCCTTCGTCTCCTCTCTGTGTATTTAGTGTGTGAGTTTTCTGTCATTCGTTGTCATTGTCTTCACGTTGAGTTCCCTAGTTTCCATGTTTCCTGGTTTCCATGTTCTGTAATCCGTCTTCAGGTTTTTATTATCTTCTTTTGATGTTCTTTGTCCCTTGAGTTTAGTATTTAGTTTTTCCCAGTGTAGCTCTAGTTAAGTTTTGCCTTTGCATCTACCTGCTCTGGCTTGTTATTTACTCCAGCCTAATAAACAGCTCGATTTTTGTTTAAGCCCTGCCCTGTCTTGTGTGTCTGCATTTGGGTCTGTTAAAAGAAATATAAGGTCTGTCACTGCATCCCCTTTGACACAGTCTTATACACCACTGCCTGCATAGATGTTAAAAGTAAAATGATTCAGGGAGTAAACTTAATAACAGTGTGGTCTGTCATTAAGTATAGTACCGCAGTACTAACACTGGCAGCTGGAGCCCCCCAAAAAACGTTATGTCCTTGGGAGAATATTATTGCAGAGAGGAGTAGGAGGTCTTGTCACTGTGGACAAAATATATTCAAGTTGGTAATGCATGCTCAACAAACACAAAAGTTATATACTGACAATAGCCAGCGTTGTTTCATTTTATTTTTTTAAAAAAACCATACAGTTCCTCAATGAAATACTGTAATTAATCTGGTCTTTTTCTTATAATACTCAAGTGATATTATTGCATAGAAATATTGTGTCAGCCCACCGAGTGGCTGCAGCTCTAAATATGAGTCATGTGCATGATTCAAAGAGACTTTCTGTTCTGTTCCTTTCACTGTAGGGATTTCTCCTGGGTCACAAACCTCCATGGAATTCAATCCACATCTGTTCGCCCCTTCTTCATTTTTATGCTTGAAACCTCTTCATCCTTGTACTTTAGTACCTGATCTTTATGTCTTTGGGATGTTTAACTGTTACATGTTACTGCATCGTCTCACCGTTTCTCTGTGTCCACAGGAAGTAGCATGTGTGCTCTCACATGTTTAACACCCATCATGTAAGCCTGCTTCCTGCTTGTGAAACATTAGCTAGACTGCCAACAAAAAGTCATCCACCCTTTGTCAACCATTTCTCATCTCATTAACCTTCAAGCATAACACATAAGGTATCATATTCATACTCCCTCACTCCACCGCAGTGTGTTTGTGTGTTGTGTTTGTGCATGCATAGCACTGCAGCTGCCGTCATGAGGAGATAGCAGTTCCCCCAGGGGTTGTCAGTGACCTTGTGCCTCTCAGTGAGCTTCTTTGTCATATTGAAACAGAGCAATATCTCCCAGTGGTGCCATCTCATTCACGAACGGGCACAACTCTTCATTACTCGTGCTTCACATGTCACAAAGACAGCACTCTTCCACCGGTGGCCTAGACGGACATTGTTCTGTGTCACAGATCTAATTTGTCTTGATCTTAGCAATTGCTGTGATCTCTGCTGTGCTTTGTTCTTTGTATCAAATCGTTTGACTCAGAGTGACAAAGTTCTGATAGCGAGTCTGTAAAGTAACACACATGTACTGTCAGGGTTTGCCATGGCAAACCGTGGGGATGTGGGAACAGTGTGGTTAACAATAGATGCACAATTTATCCCCGTTGCTCCCCAAGACTCCCGTGTGTGTTTCCCACTCAGACGTCCGTGTTCGTGCTCCCCGCTGTCGTGTTTCTACACACCCTGTGCGTGCTGTCCTTCCTCGCCACGTTCCTCCTGCAGGAAAACAATAGAAGCAGCCGTTAAACACTGACCCCCGCGGGCACACACGATCTGCAGCCAGTCCCCTAGCCACCAGGCCTGAAGGCGCCTGTAAACAGGTGTTCGCAGAAACACCTGCATCCATACACACACACCCACCCACACACATATCTGCAAATAGGGAGAAGAGGGACAGCACTACCAAAAATACATAAAATAAAAGATAAGTCCATAACTGCTCAGGGTCCTGGGTCGCTCAGACCCAGGACCCTGACATGTACAACAGTAACTACTACAGAAAAACTCTCATATAGATATTTATTCCATTAGCTTGAAAACTGTCAAACAATGAGACAACACAGTACTGTGATTTAATCTATATCCTAGTGGACTGTGTTGCATCATGAACCCCTGTTGAGCAAGACTTCTACACCTGATTCGTGGCCTTTTGCACTGGACATCTCAGTGTAAAGGACAGGCAAAACCTGCTGCTTTAACAGGGACCTTTAATTGCCAAATTCTGAATAGTTCAATCTTGAATAATTTCCAAATTTCAAGAAATTTCCCTCAGGACCTCAGGACATATCGCACTGTAATGGCGATCTGAAGTCATTCCTCTTCAGATAAGTGGTTCGTTGACTCATGTGGCAGCTCTCTGGGGACGATCTCTCAGTTCAACAAGCAGTGAGTACAGTGACGGTAAATTATGTTACGTTTGCAAGGATTTTTAAGCACACTGACTTTAAAGGTCCTTTGCAGTGCAAAGGTTTGATCTAACCTGACAGCACTAAATCTGAAGTCTGTCATTGAATTACAAACCAAGAAGCACCAATTTTTTATACAGCTTCACAACGCATGTGGACCTGCTCCCACTCCACCTGTCTTAGCTGAGCCTGGTCCTGGCAAGGGCTTATATGTTTGATTTATGAGTCAGGGTGCGAGCTAATCAATATCTATGTAGTACAGCACAATCTCTTTATCACTTCCCTTCCCCTTAGTTTCTTTCAGAGCAAGTCTGCTCTTTAGCAATCAATAATTCTTTGAATCTGCCTTCTCATTAATATGGAATACAAAGTTTGTGCTTGCGGTTTGTTTTCCTTCCACTGAGGTCTAATAGGTGTCATCATTGAATCAGCAGAGTGTGTTTAGCACCCTTTCCATTTAGAGTGACCCAATAACTGTGCACAGCTTCCATTAAAAAATCATCTAATTTCAAAAGGCTATATATTTTAAAGCAATAGACATCGAAACTTGAGGTTTATTTTAAAATACATTGTTAAATATAAAGCTTTGCAAACAAAACTTACAATGTTAACAAGATATGATGGTCAGTGGATGGATGTCTGGAGCCACTGTACCCACTGCTGTTGTTATGCTACCTTCTGGAAACGTAAAAAATCACAAATCCACTGTTTCTAACAGTACGTGTTTCGATTGTTAACGGTGAACAGCTGTGGAATTAAAGCATGCTGAAAACTGGACTATTCTTTTTGATACACCCTGTATACTGATGCTTGTTTACATGTGTGGTTAAAGTTTGTCCACTTCTGATTTGGTCGCCTTAGACACATGTTAGAACAAGATATGTGTTGCGCTAGCATTTTTTGCATGTTACATGTACTATGTGCACCAGCTTGTGCCCATTCTTTGTTTTTATTGGCCGCACAAATGTATGGCACAGTCCGCTTCCCACACACCATGCTTCTTCAACATATTGGCAAACTGTTCGTGCACAGCTCAAGCCACTGAAAATAATGGGTTTAAGATCCCAGCTGTGTCGCTGCCACTCAGGAGTCTGTGAGAGTTCTATTCCAGGATATCACTGGTCGTAAGACCATTACAGCAGTCGGCTTTGTATCTCTCTTTCACAACGGTCATTTTTCATGTGGGACAGCCTGCAATTCCACAGCGTACCGTACATGCAGCTTTAATAAGGTCCAAGTCATTCAAGAATCATAAAATCAAATCTTAATATAATAATAAAAGAAATAGTTGAGTACATCCTGCACTCTCATTAAATACTGTATCATAATTCATACTGTAAGATTTATCCATCAGACAGAAGCCACAAAACTGCTACTGCATATTTCCTTCAGCACAATCATTTAAACACTTTTTAAAAATAATTCTAAGAAAAGCACCAACATAGGCTTCAAGCTACTGAGTTGAAAGTCATTCACTCAGTAGTTTTTCCCTTTTACTGTCCACTTTGGTCAGCCTTTTACCATCTTGAACTTTCACCTCACGTCAACATAATCTTACTGCACCGCCATTGTCTCCTGTCATTTCAATGGAATAGTCTCACTTGATATGCACTGCCTGTCCAGAAACCATTCCACAGTTAACTTTCTGGCCACTAACTATTGGTCTGTGAAATGAATGGCTCGAGGGGCCTGAGTTGAGCCTGCCTGCCCGCACTCAGACGTGCCATCAGCCCAAACATGAGTGACCCACTTCGCTGGGTATAGAGAAGGCCTGAAGCAGACCTCAGCATATTTATAGCTTACATTAACAGTACGCATACAGCATCAGCATGTATGCAATGAGCTGTGTCACTGAAGTATTTATTTCGGTATCCCTGAACTCTGCCAATGCTTTAATATGTCAGTCACATCTCCTAAAAATATCCCCCCTCTACTCTTTCTCACTGTCTGTGTTTCTCAGCAGACTCCTTTTACACAGAACAAGTCCTTGTCTTTAGGGAACACGGCAGTAAAGGGGTGTTACCAAAGAATTCTATTAGAAGCGGGTGTAACCCACAGCGATATGAACCGTGTTCTCAGTTCTCTCTGGTTTAAGCAGGAGGAAAAACAGCCGTCTCTGCTGCTTCATCTTGCAGTAACCTGCTTTTTTTTTTTAAGGCAATTTGGCTCTTAGAAGGTAACTTACAAAGGGTGGACGAGGGGTAAGTACTGACTTAAAAAACGAGAAACTTACTTGAAAGCAAATCCTCTCATGGTAATATGTTTCTGAAGTCAGTACAGACAGTTCAATGCTTTCAGAAACATTCAGTGTTAGAAAATAATTAGAAGAAGTATGTGGTCAAAGTTTGTATGAATCCTGAACAATGTGAAGGAGTGTGAAACTGTACAAGCTTTCTTTATCTTACTGTATCCACACATGGACATCCAGAGTTTGGCCACTAAACATGTTTTAAATGTACTATTATCCTCCCTTTGGTGACAACTTCAAATGCTTTTATTTCAAACTTTTTTCCTGTCACTGACCTGAGTTCTCCTTGCGTCACCAGGAGAGGTATCCATACTGTAAAAAGAGGAGAAACTCAGGAGTGAGACTGGGGGAAAAAAAGGTTTGCATCTTTCTTGTGCTGATAGCTGATTGTCTCAAAGTCAACCCAAAAGTGTAATTTAAATAATATCTGAAGTGTCTGAAATGTTTGCAGATGAGTCGGAACACAAGTCAGCACAAGCTACTGGCGATGGCAGGAGTATGCTAGTGGCCAAAGTTAACACAAGGCGTTTTTTTGTGCAGCGCTGTGCTAGCAACTGCCCACAAACACTTTCTGCCTAGTCGCGGACTACACAATTTCCACCGAGATTGGTGGTTACCAAGAAGTCACTGAGTGATCTGTAGGCCTGCCTGAATCCAGTTTTTTTTATAGGATCTTCACACTTCACCTTTAGCATTTTCAAAATACATTTTCTGTCCTGTTGTGTTCATATTACCCTGAAAATACCTAGCTACTAGCTACTGTTAGTAACCAGCAATAGCTGCTAGGTCCAAAGTCTTCCTGGTATTCAGAATTTAGTCTTTAAGTGCTGTTTATTTGTTACTTTTTAAGAACTACCTCACCATACTATCTTTACATGCCAACAGGCTAGCTAACTAGTCCTAAATACTTGTTTCATGGAAGCATGTACAGTGTTTGGGCAACCACAGAGGAGACATTAGTATCTCAGAAGGTGGAGCAGATCCACTGCTCATTGAAAGATTGGTTGTTTGATCCCAGGCTGCTACAGTCTACATGTCAAAAAAAGTCTTGGGTGAGATACTGAACCCTGAGTTTCTTTGAGTGCTCAAATACAGTAGGAAAGTGCTAAATAACAGCCAGTCTGTATATGCTTCGCTGTTAACACCTGGGAGAACGGCTACACTGAAAAAAATGTAGTGTTTTTGACAGTGAATTGTGCCTTTTTTCCTTTATGGAAAATGGGACGCTGAAATGGAAAATTACGTCATACTCAAGAGATTTTCACAACACACGCCCAATTTGCTCTCCCCAGTTTCCTTTTTGCCGCTTCATTTCTCTTTATTTATTATTTGCACCTATGACTTCATAAAGCTTTCAGTGGCCTCATGCTTACCATTCAGACTAAACTGTGACTGCAGTGTAAACTGAGGCAGGGATCTGGAGTTGTTGCTCTCTTTTTAGCTGTGTTAAAAACTGACCGCTGGTAGGCCCCACCCTTATATCAGGCCATATCTTGTGGCTGCCAGAGTGAGATATTTGCTAGCTGAAGTGTAGTCAGATGTTTTGGGTTGGGTCACTTGGACTTTATTATGTCTGATTTGCTCCAATCCACACATGTGCAAGCTGTTTTCAGTTACATGTTGTGTTTCAATGGCAGAAATCTTACAGACACCTCTCACCACAACCCAGTGGTGCACAGAAGAAAATGCATTTACATAAAACTCTGGTTGTTTTTGTGTTGAAAACTGAGAGAAAATGCAAGCGTCTCCTCCTGCAATGATGACGTCAGAAAAGGACCTTTATTTGATATTGGATGGGCACTGTTTGCTGCAAGCCACTATGCATACCATTGACTGCTAAACTGTTCCCTGAAGGAAGGATATAAGCTTTTGAAAGTAAACAAGACATAACAGCCTAAATTGTCTATGCAGCCAGTAGCCGTGTGCTGCATCATGCACGCTGCAAAAGCCTCCCACACACTGTGCAGCACATTTCTGCGTTCTCCAAACACCCGCAGCCTCAGGCATGTGCACTGCTAACGGCAGGAGCAGACCATCCGCACTGCAGTCGAGCCTAAAGATACAACAATACCTCCTTTCTTCTTTGTGGCAGTAAATGTGAAGTAGTATTTGTTTTCCATGGAAGAAATACATGATGATATTCTCCAGTATATTTTTAGTGTTCCTCCATCATGGATACTATGTTCTGATAAACAAGGAAAAGTGGAAAATTCTCATTTAATGTGTATATAAGCAACCACTTTTGACCAATAACATTATGTCTTTCAATAATGTTTCACGTCAAACTCATTGTAAATAAAAAAAACATGTATTTCGAAAGACGCTCTACTACCAAAGCAGGTAACTTACAGCAGGTAGGACTGCTAGTTTTTGGCCTAAAGTGTTAAGACACCCAATTGTCAGGTTTCAGGATGTCACTCCCGACAATGAGTGACAGATTGCATTGAGCAAGATGTCTGGGTCTCTGGGCTGTGGTGCTGAGCTGTGACATCTTTTCTCTGTCACTCTCAGACAACAGCAGGCTGCTGGCCTGACTCATACTCAGTAAGATCCAAAATGGCAGCAATACAATCCTCAGTCTTTCTGCCAGAACTGCAGAACGAGTAAGAGGACCACTGCCAGGCAGCTGGCCGTTTGTCTTGATCCCTTGAATGGGCCCTTCTGGTCTGTTAACACTGGCAGATGGTTTTGGTCATATATAGGCTACACATTATGTTCAGACTGCCACACATTAACATTGCGCAGGTGCCCATCAGCTCACCAAATCAGCTCTGACCTGTTAGGCCATGGACATGGCACCTCTGGGGCTGCCCTGTGGTGTCTAGCAATAAGAGGTTCTGTGGGTTGCAGACTGGGGACTTTGTCTCTATGTGTGGAGATTGTATGTAAATGTAAAACATAGCAAGGCAGATTCAGTTGATTAAAGGGAATCATATAATGATATTAATTTAATTTGTGAATGGGGAACTGAGCTACAAATCTCAACAATCAACTTTATCATCACTGATCAGGACAACTCTAATCTAGACAAAACATTTAAGTGGTTTAAAGGTGTTATTTTAAAATTGAAGGGTTTATTTCAAATATATCTAATAGATGAAGCAGGTTCAGTATTCTCTCTAAGGATACATTAAAACTGAAGACTGGAATATCCAGGGATCAAACTACTGACCTTCCAATTGATAGAAAACCTGTTTGACCAGAACTTTTTTTATTCACTGACCTCTGATTTTTCTCATAGTGCTCCTTTAATTATTTTGAGCTGCTTATATATAAGCTGTGTCTAAGCAGACTTTCCTCTCTTGGCATCTCTGACACACCCCTAGCTTGGTGCCAATCATATCTCCATGACCGCTCCCAGTTTATTCAACTTAAATCATTTTGCTCTTGTCTATTCTCAGTCACTTCTGGTGTACCCCAAGATTCAGTCTTAGGCCCTCTTCTCTTCATAATTTACATCCTCCCTCTTGGTACCATTTTCCGCAAATTGGATCTTCACTTTCACCGTTTTGCTGATGACACCCGGTTATATCTCTCCTGCAGGCCTGATTTTTCCCTCCCAACTTCTTCCCTTACAGAATGCCTATCTGAATTAAAATCCTCGTTCAGCTCTAATTTTCTTAAGCTCAATGAGGATAAAACTGAAATCTCCTTATTGGAACTAAATACAAACTTTTGAAGGTAAATCTTTTCTCACTCACTATTGATAACTCCACAGTTTTCCCTTCACTTCAGGTTAAGAGCCTAGGTATCATCTTACCTAGACAGTTCACTATCCTATAAATTGCACATCAATAATCTCACTGCCTATTTCCATCTACGCAGCATTAACAGATTACGTCCTCCTCTTTCCACCCAGTCTACATCCATTCTTGCTTTCAGTTGCTCTGCTCCCAGACTGTGGAACTCTCTACCCCCAGATATAAGAAACATTGGTTCTCTCCTCCAGCTTAAATGTAACTCAAAACTCATCTGTTCAAATCTGCATATTCACTGTGAAAACACTGTTTGTTAATTTTATCTTGCACTTTGTTTCTATTGTTCTTCATTTTGTCATCTCTATTATTATTTTATTGTTAAGTGTCCTTGGGTGTCATCAAAGGTGCCTTTTAATTAAAATTAAAATTAATTATTATTATTATTATTATTTTAAAAAATTTATCTGCTGAAACATCCGTTCATGATTTTTGCAGATACAATCACCCAACATTTACTCTAGTCTCCTATCTGACCCATCCTCGCCGCCTCTCCTCCAGCTCTGTCCTTCTGCTTCGTTTTCTTGATTTTCTGAGTTTGAACTTTCCTTGACTCTTATTTCGACATCCTTCTTCAGAGGAAGTTCACAAGAGGCCAGCGGCTCAGTGAAACAACTCCACCTCCTGTCCTTCATGCAATTTACAGCTTTCAGCTCAGTCCTGTGCTAAGCTGCTGAACACACAGCCACATTTAAACAGTTTCATTCAGATGCAGTTGATCGAATCACTGATTTGACTGTGTCAAAGTTAACGAGTCAACATAATCTACATTTTACTGGCTCACACTCATCGTTTTCTAAAGATGTGAATGTTTGCCATGAAGCATACAGTATTCTGTCACAGACCCACTGCTCTGCTAGCCATGATGAGTTCAAAAAGAAGGCAGCCATGTGACAGTTGACGTGGTGGATTAAAGCCTAGGGCGTACGACATAAACACAGACACAGTGTCCACTGCTCTGAATCATTTATATTATGAGCTCTAATGTGTGTCGTTTTGTGTTGACACACATGATGTCTACGACAATGTGTGCGTGTGTGCATGTGTGTCAGGGAACAAACTAAAAGTCAAAAGAAGCCTGAGGATGAGACAGAGGGGGCAGCGGTTGCCAGAAAAGAGGTCTCTTAAGAAAAAAACACAGACTCTAGTGACTGCACGGCTTCAGCCAGATGACCGAGCTGCTCTCAAGTATAATAGGAAGATGTGCCCTAGGTTGAGTAAGCATTTACATATATACAACAACAACAGTAATTTCATATTTTAATTTGTGCTGTCAGCGTTAATCTCGTTAAAATGACGTTAACAACATAACCACATTAACGTGGCAAATCTCCACGAGATTAACGCTGACACCACTAATTTTAATTTGACATTTTTCTTTTCCTGATACAAAATATTAAATTGTCTGTACATCTATATCTATATCTCTTACCTAACTCCTCCTAGACACATTAATTAATCTGGAGGAAGTACATTATATTAACTGCCTGGGGTACCAGGATAATACACATCGTTAAAGTTTATGGGAATTATTTTTAGAACACTCATATCCTAATTAGCTGATCTCAAAACATACATGTACACTGTTCACAATACGTGTACGTTACATGTATGTGTATATTGTTCACATTATGTATATGCTGTTTTTTGTAAATAAAACAGTTTTTAGTGCAGTGGCACTTTGGGATTTAATGAACATAAAAATAATAACATGATAACATTAACATACATGTCTGAGTTTTCATACATGAGCAAAGTGGACAAGCACTGCAGGCCTAGCAATAAAATATCCATAGGATAGGTTTTTGCTAGTAATTAAATATATTTACAGGAGCAACAAGACCTTTACCTGAAATTAGGTAAATACTGACAACATCCTGCTTGTTTTTCAATGCAAGCTGTACTAATGTAATGCCTTAGCATCATGTATACATTTTAGCATGTATTTTCTTCTTCTATCAAAAAATGTGTCGTATTTATTGACCTCTGGCCTCCACCAAATGTTCCACTGTGCGGTCCAGCCCACATTTAGCTCTGTCTCATGCTGACAGCCAGTATCAGACATGAAATGGTTGTTGGGCAAGACAGTCTCAGCTTCTTTTAACTTGATGGAACTAAACTTGATTCAACACTTCTCTGACGATGGCTGTGAAATATTTACGGCAGGGCACGAACTGGGGAGGGCTCGGGAAAGCGAGGGGCAGAGGCATGAGTTTAAAGTTGCAGACTCAGTATCTGCTTTTGAGTGTCTGACCATGGGGAGTACTTAAAATTGTCTCTTCCCTTTACCCACAGGCTGGCACTGACAAGGACGTGCAAGGTAAGAAGTCAGCTGCACGTAGCCGCCATTAGCTTACCATCAGCTGCTATCATATTTTGTCACTTTTCATCACTATGCCTGCCTAGAAACCATTCTTTCTTGGCAGATGATAATTTGCCATAACTAAGTCTTTGCCTGAAGAATAATAATCTAAGTCTGTGTGACAGAATGGAGCCGTGGCTGAGAAAGAGCTCTACTTTGAGTGTAACAACATTACTTAAATTCCTTCTGACTCTGTGTGCTACAAGAAGACCATTATCACAGCACTTTTTGGCCAATCTCCACATTGTGAACAAAGCTTCTATGGAGTTGGGAGGGACACAGAATTAAAAAGAGTGTATACATTATAAAAGCACATCCAGCCCTGATATGAAGCAGTGAACATCTGACACTAAGTGAAATATGTGAGTGATGTTAGTGTTTGAGATATAAATAAACAGACAGATGCATACAAAAAATCAACCCTAATAATGTTAAAGGAGAAATTGGAACTTCCTGTTATTTACTCACATGTTGTTTCCAGGGAAATAAATAAATCATAAAGAGAAAAGAGAAAAGAAATCAACGATTTTAAAGGCTTTTTTTAATCTCTGTTTTTGTTTCTTGTATATTTTCTAGATAAGATATAGCCTATATTTATACTCAGCACTATGCAGAGGTCTTGCACCATCACTGGGAGGAGACACAATACCCTTAGAGTATTACAAGCTAATGTATGCCTAGACCAGTGGTGTCAAACATAAGGGCCAGGGGCCAGAATCTTTAGCTCCAATCAGGCCCATTGGACGGCTTTTCTTAAGTTTTACAGCTTTTCCCACTGATAAACTCCTCTTCTATGGTATTCATAGGACACTAAATAGGTATAAATAAGCAAGTACACTAAAACAATAAAATAACAGAATGTTCCTGTTTTTTCACTATCTAAAATCTATACTATCTACTGAAGAAATGTATGATTTATCTGTGGATTATGGGATTATAATTACAGGGCAGAGAAATATTCCTATAATTTTAAACATTTATTTCCTATAATTTAAGCCCATCTTTATCGTGTGCAGAAACTGAGCTGTATTGTTGAAATGTTGTTCTTTTTTATTAAAAAAAAAACTAAAATAATAAATGTGTAGTTGTTCTTTACACTGACTGAAAGCGGACTTTCACTGGCCTGAACCAGTGGCCCACAGTGTAAAATAATTTGACGTCCCTGGCTTAGATGAACGGGAAGTTCTGTTCCAGAGTAGGAGGAAGGAAAATCTGTGCAGATCCATCTGCTGTGATGACCCCTTGGGAAGGGCGCAGTCAAAGTACCTCAATTCTCTATTTAACTGAGCTCATCCCTTAGTAAACTTATTTAAGAACTACAAGATACTATGTTTGAGCTAAGTTGTTTTTCATGTAACAATACTTTATTTATCCCAACCATTGGAATAAATAAAGTATTTCTTCTCCTTGTTCTTCTTCTTATTATTATTATTATTATATTATGAAAAGGGGTGTTGCTATTGCTTCTTCAGTTGTGGTGAGAGCAAATTTGTGAACTGTCAAAACTCGTCTGCGCACGTCATCCTGAAACCTCCACACTCTTTTTATGCGCGTCTAATCTTGTGAGTGAGCAGTGTAATGATAAATGGAAAACTGTTAGCAGTGTTGGGCACATGTTCATTATATCACTTTGTCTCAGTAATAACTGTGCCTATTAATATAGATAGTGCACAAATGACATCCTTAATGAAGACATTGTCAGTCAGGTGATTTGTGTTCATTAACATCAAATAGAAACACAAGTAAAAACACTCTGAGCGTACACTGCACTGAAAATACAGTTATTTCCATGTCTACGTTTTCTTTCTCAGGGAACAAACTGCCTGTAGGTCCCTTTTCTGTACTAATGGCGCAAAGGATGTTGAATGAAGGTGGGCAAGATGGCCGATCAGGTGAGACACAGGAATGGACTATCGATGATGGAATTTTGTGAATGCTAATGAAGTGTGCATGACAAAAATGTTTACCGATGAAATTGCCAAATGTACAAGTTGATAAACCTAAATTTTGGCAAAAGGCTATCCTCAGTTATTTGTATTTCCCTCTTCGTCCTTCCCTTGGAAATGATGACCTCTTTATTTAATGTTGCTCCGTCCAAGTTCAGCCCCCAGGATACGACTTAATGAAGGGACTGCAGTGAAAGGCCTGGGAACAATGTTATATTTAGCCTTCTTGTTATTTCTGTTGGTTAATTTTTAATGCCCACTGGAGGGCTGTGTGTAGAGAATAAGCGGGCTACATTTTGCTCATTGTGCCCCTATAATTTCTGTTGTGCCGGCTCACATTAGTAACACAAAAGCTCTGTTTCATGACCTGGCATTGACCTTAGTACTTTCTCACTTTTTGTTAACACCCAGGCCTATGAAACATTTAAAAGCAGTTTTGTTAGGAAAAATAAAGGTCTCACATAGTCTGTGAATGACTTGAAATTAGATCAATATGAATATTTAATTATAACTGGGCCTTTTGATTTGCCTCACTGTAAGCATTTTACTTTGTCTTTTGTGACTGCAGTCCTGGGAATGTTGGAGGTGCAGGTAGAGCGGGACCCCAAGACAGGTGCCACCATCGTTAGGTCAGTGGCTCCTGTGTCCACACCAGCTGGTGCTCCAAAGGCTACCACTGTCTTTGACGACGGCAGGAGGAGCATCCACACTATCAGTGGGTCAGCAGATCAACCCTCGTCTAAAGAGCTTGGGCAGATCTTGAGTGTCATCGATGGGGTCGGGATGAAAGTGCTGCTGAATGAAGTCACAGTCACACCAACCAAGACAGAGACAGTAGAAGCTAGCAAAGGCTCAGAGAAAAAAGGCCTGTCGCTTTATACCCATCCCAGCGCATCAAAGGAAGACTACAGGCCATTCGGCGGCTCTAGAAGTGATGATTTAGAAGTTGAGCTGAGCAGTGAGAAGTGTGTTGTAAATGTGGGAAACACAGATGATAAAAACACGATGGCAGTGAGAGACACTTTGGAAAAAGTAGATATTGTGGAGAATCAGATGTTGGAGGAAAGTCCTGTCACACTTGTGTTCTTGGGATACGCTGATGCTACAACAGACCAGAGTCAGAGCCAAGAGGAGCAGGAAGGCATGATCACTGTGGAACGAGTGATAATCACGGATGATGGAGAAGAGCATGTCTTAGGACCTGAAATGCCTCCTCCACTTTATTCACCATTAGACCAGGTAGCAGAGCAAGGCACCGGGAAAGAGTCCAAAGATGAAGCAGTTCAGGTTATTCCCTCGAGTGGAAACGGAGCTGGAATCAATGTGCAGGCAGAGGAAGGTGATAAAGAGTCACATAATACATCTCCACCAGGCATAACAGAGGGAAAAGGCAGTTCTACGCACAGGAGCTGCCGGTGTTGCTCTGTCATGTAAGAAATGGTTGAAGAAAGACTCCCTGTATACCATGTATACACTGCTTCCTTTATATGTTCCTTTATATGAGTGGGTTTAATAGCATACTAAACCATCACCCACCATTTCACCTCCCCTTGATAATAAAAGTGGCATTTATATATTTCTGCAGCTTCTACAAAGCTGAGAACTAAAGTCCACTTCCACCCCCTAGTGGACAGAAATAAGAACTTCAAGCAAGCAAGCTTATCCAAGAGAAAAACTCCACACTAAATGTTTAGCCATGGTTCCTGTAGAAATGGGGGGAAAAATTACGCCATCCTTTATCATGCACATCTTAATGCTTATGGTGTCCCTCACTGTTTCTGGTATGAAAAATACCCTGCAACTGAGGCCTGAGATTTTGAGTGTTTCTGTGTTTTGATGCATCACCTTTACACGTTGAGTTTCTTAAGACGGATTCAGATTCACCATTTCTGTGTAAAAATCCAAACATTAACATTTTGAGAAATTATCTCATTCTTGCTCAGAGTTACATGAGAAACATTACACTTTTTTAATGTCTGTGCACTCACTGTGAAACTAAAACCAGCATCTGGTTACTGCTGCGCTCGGGCTGCAGATAACCTCGCTGACATGGCAACAAGACATTTTTATCTCTCAGTTTCAAACACTGATTAGGTGTTAATTAGAAGTTCTGGCTGGCAGATTTTTTTTTTAAACTTCCTGGCAGTTTGGCTTGTTGGTTTCACGTTCATGCCAAGTTAAGAAAATTGGTTTGTAGAATTTGTCTAATATTTTTCTGAGGCACTGATTGTCTCATCTAATTCTTGGGGAAAGAAAGTAAATAGTATACCGCCCACCATCTTGAACTATGCCTTCACTATTTTAGAACTGATATATACATTAAAAATACCTCTAGAATTGTTTGAAACACTTTAAAACCACATTGGCAATACAAGAAGAACAATATGTTCTTCTTGTATATTCACTGTAGAAAATCTGGAAATCACTGTCTTTTTCTGACCTTTGTTTGATTTTTTTTTTTCTCACTGAATTTAGCTATAACACTGATTTATGGCAGTGGATGTTAAACAGGATATGTTGTAATATGACAGATTCCAGTTGGTGTAGTGATTGAGTTTTACAATTAGATTTGAGATGTACTCACAATTTCACACTAAAGCAGTAAACATGCAGACCTCCCATATTTGCTTCTGTATCATACACCGAAATGCATTTTTTTTTTAATGGAGATTTTCCAGCGCAGTTTTGTGACTTTTAAAATGACGACTTTAAATTGTGAATTTAAATTCACGTGACATCTTTGTATTTCTAAAATTTCCTTTATTTAAGGTGTTTACGTGTGTAAAAACAGTAATTACACCAACAACAAATACTGACCACTGCTGCAGTACAATTGACCAGGTGTAAAGTTGCAGAAAAATACTTTAATTAGTTCGATTATTGTGTAATTTAATGTAAAAATCTTGTACATTTGATGCATATTTAACAGGATAAAATATGGCAGCATACTTTCATTTATATGTTCAAAAAATGTCAAAATCAAGTTTATAAACTAGCAAATGGGTTTATCATTATGAAAATATCCAGTTAATTTGAGACTATTATGTTACATAAGCTGTTAAATGTAACTTTGCATCAAAATTTTGAATAAACAACAGATCTTCACATTTAAAGAAGGTAAGCCCACATATGAAACGATTGGATTTATCTTTATTTAACACCATAAAATATAATTCCCCATTGTAATATACTGTTAATTTATGATCATAGTAAGTTTAATATGATTCTTTATAAATAACTTCACATTCAAATATGAAATATTTCACAGAAGTTTACTGTAAAAAAAAAGTGTGCACTAATTAGAATGCTGGATTTAACTTGGAAAAATCAATTTTAAAATGGTTAACCTTGATTATGATATTATTATTATACTTAAAACAAGCTGCTGTCATATGTAATATGTTTCTTACCACATGAAATTAATGGATGGACATTTTAAAAATATGCCGTTAATTAAAGATTACATTAAAAAAACGCGTTAAACCTTTATTTTAATAAGGTTATCAGAGTAACAGTATTTTGCCTGCAGCATTGTGGTCAAATGACGAATCATGAAATGATGAGTTTGCTTTATAATGCCATCATCAAACCATTAGGAACCTGGTGCAAAAATCACACACATACAAAAAAGACCTACTTGTACACTCCTAAACTATCGTGATGAATCAGATGAATGTTTCAGTCCCATGAATCAGATCTCGTTCAAATACAGACGAGGTTGGAAGGAACTGATGAACAGTTGAAGAACAGTAGAAATTTGCAAAGAGTGTGTTTATGATAATACATTTGCATTTGGAGCCTGTTGCTACATATTGGTATGAGGGTGAATTGAAAAAAAAAACAACAACATAAATTTGTATGAATCCATAGTCATTGGTATGCTTAGATGTCAATAACCTGGTAGCCCTGTTATTTAGTGAATGACAGTTTAAATGGTGATAAAAAAAAAACCTTTTGCAAATGTCTACATAATCAACCAACCTACAGGCTGCAAGCACATGTGAAAGAGTGCATAAATTTCATGCAAGGACCCATCCTTTCTTTGTACGACAATGAAACACCAGCATAAACTGCATCCTCCAAAACTGGCAGATGTTCAGTCAGTAGTAGGATGCAAACATCAACACAACACCACCAGACGATTGTGATGTGGCCATACCTAATGGTCTGACCCACAGATAATATGAAGTACTCTGCTGCCAAAGAAGAACTTCACTACACATACAGTGGGGCAAAAAAGTATTTAGTCAGCCACCGATTGTGCAGGTTCCCCCACCTAAAATGATGACAGAGGTCAGTAATTTGCACCAGAGGTACACTTCAACTGTGAGAGACAGAATGTGAAAAAAAAAA